GATTTTTTGATTTATTGTAGAGATGAGGTCTCGCTGCCCAGGCGGGTCTCGAACGTGTGGACTCAGGCAATCTACTCACCTCAGCCTCCCAAAGGCACGGGATTACAGGCTGAGCCACCGAGCCCGGCATAAGAAACCTGATTTTGTAGAAGGTTCAAAGATGAAAAATATGGCATCCGTTCTGATAAAATTGTTTAGGGTCAAAGTGGGGTGTCTATATACAAAGACTGAATTAAGGAACAGAATTGGTGTTGTTACTTTTTTTAACTTAGAGGTACTGCTCATTAGTGTTTTTATCTCAGAATATGTGGGCCTGGACTATGAAACACATCATAGAGACAATGGAAAGAGAGTTGGAACTAATTTAGATTTCTGGCTCCACCACCTACCACCACTTACTAGGTTTGTGATCTTGTACTAAAGGACAAGTCTCTTTTCCTCTCTGAGCCTCAAAGATAATACCTGTCACATAGAATCTGACAAATTATGGGAGATTATATATATTGACCCCTAATCTGGTGTCTCACTTGTCAGAGATATTGTTTTGGTTGAACTCAAGTGGTAATTTTTATCCTAAGTATCAGTTATTCTTTCTCTTCCTAGTGTAACGTGTACAACTCTGGCCAACGGCGGAAGCTATTGCTGTTCAAGACGTTCTCTCGGAAAGTGGTAGTGGTTGTTCCTAATGAGGAAGATTGGAAGAAGAGGCTGGAGTTGAGGAAGGAAGTGGAAGGAGATGATGTGCCTGAGTCTATAATGCTGGAGATGAAAGGTAAGTGTCTTAATCTGTTTTCTGCTGCTATCACAGAATATTATAGATGGGATAATTTTTAAAAATTGGAAGCTTATTTGCCTTTCCAGTTCTGGAGACTGAGAAGTCCAAGAGTGTGGAGCTGACATCTGGTGAGGGCTTTTCTGCTGCATTACTCCATGGCAGAAGGGTGAGAGGGAACAAAACCACTCATGTGATAGTAGCATTAATCCATTCATGAGGGTCAAGCTCCCATGATCTTAAAAGTCCCACTATCAGCTGGGCTTGGTGGCTTAGCCTGTAATCCTGCGATGTGGGAGGCTGAGGTGAGTGGATTGCCTGAGCCCGCAGGTTCAAGCCCTGCCTGGGCAACATGGCAAGACCTCATCTCTACAATAAATCAAAAAATTAGCCAGGTGTGGTAGCGCGTGCCTGTAGTTCCAGCTACTTGGAAGGCTGAGGCGGAAGGATCACCAGAGCTCAGCAGGTTGATGCTGGGGTGGCTGTGAGCATGCCACTGCACTCCAACCTGGACAACGAAGTGAGACTCCAACTCAAAAAAAAAAAAAAAAAGGCCCACCATCTCAGTGCTACTGCATTGGGGATTAAGTTTTCAACACATGAACTTTAGGAGAACATACTTGAACCATAGCAGTAGGCTAAAATTGTACAAGTTAGGGATCTTATCCCTGGTGAGTGCACACCTTACTGGGTCCTCTTATCTCTTAGAGTGATGACACTCTACATCTAAAATAAAAATCTTAAGAGGAACTCGATTGTGGTGAGCACTTGTTGATAAGTGAGTGAGCATAGTGATTGGAGAAGCAGTAATCCCTTGGTTCATTGTGAATAAGATATAAAAGGGGAAGTAGTGGTAGGCCATGGGATAATTAAACTCAAGGGAGAGGCTTCCTTGAGTCAGATATTCATTAAGTAAATATATTTATGGCATGTCTACTGTTCAGCACTGTCCTAGACATAGGGAAATGGCACATGAAAAGAAGCTCAGCTTCATGTAATTTATATCTCATGGAAAAGAGAGGAGATCATTATGGTTCAGGTAAAAATATTGCAGTTGGAGTGAATTATCTCGTTGGTATATCTTGGTTTCTGGTATCACATTAGACTTATTTTTTGTTTTTGTTTTTGAGTTGGTGTCGCACTCTGTTGCCCAGGTTGGAGTGCAGTGGCACAATCATGACTCACTACAGCCTTAACCTTCTAGTTCTCAGATCATCCTTCTGCCTCAGTCTCCCGAGTAGCTGGGACCACAGGCACATGCCATGCCTGACTGGTTTTCTTATTTTTTTGTAGAGACAAGTTCTCACTATGTGCCTAGGCTAGTCTCAAACTCCTGGGCTCAAGCAATCCTCCTGCCTTGGCCTCCCAAAGTGCTGGGATTATAGGCTTGAGCCTCCGCACCTGGCTAGACTTGTATTTTGTTTTTTTTTTTTAAGTTTGGCTGAAATATTTAATGCAATACATAAGTCTGGGAGCAAGGTCTACAGAAGGAAGAATTAAACATTATGATCTGCTTCCTACTGTTCCCTTAAGAGTGTGATTTTCCCCTTGCCACCTTTAGCTCCTGGCATCCCACCTGTCCTATCAATTGCTGGCTCTTCAAATTCTGATAATCCCAGGCATGGGAACTGGTTTACACATCAGTGAGCCAGATCCTCAGGATTTACTCCAAACGAGTTATGCCAGGCCATAACTGATACTTAAGCACTCAGAGAAATCTAGTTCAATTTTTTTTTTTTTTTGAGTTGGAGTCTCACTCTGTCGCCCAGACTGGAGTGCAGT